GCCGGCCACTAACAGGGACCCTCTTGAGTAAACACATAGCCGGCCACTAGCAGGGACCCTCTTGAGTAAACACAGAGTCAGCCACTAACAGGGACCCTCTTGAGTAAACAGGGACCCTCTTGAGTAAACACAGAGTCGGCCACTAACAGGGACCCTCTTGAGTAAACACAGAGCCGGCCACTAACAGGGACCCTCTTGAGTAAACATGGAGTCAGCCACTAACAGGGACCCTCTTGAGTAAACATGGAGTCAGCCACTAGCAGGGACCCTCTTGAGTAAACATGGAGTCAGCCACTAACAGGGACCCTCTTGAGTAAACATGGAGTCAGCCACTAACAGGGACCCTCTTGAGTAAACACATGGAGCCGGCCACTAGCAGGGACCCTCTTGAGTAAACACAGAGCCGGCCACTACAGGGGACCCTCTTGAGTAAACATGGAGTCAGCCACTAACAGGGACCCTCTTGAGTAAACATGGAGTCAGCCACTAACAGGGACCCTCTTGAGTAAACATGGAGTCAGCCACTAGCAGGGACCCTCTTGAGTAAACATGGAGTCAGCCACTAACAGGGACCCTCTTGAGTAAACATGGAGCCAGCCACTAACAGGGACCCTCTTGAGTAAACATGGAGTCAGCCACTAGCAGGGACCCTCTTGAGTAAACATGGAGTCCGGAGGCAGCCACTAACAGGGACCCTCTTGAGTAAACATGGAGCCAGCCACTAGCAGGGACCCTCTTGAGTAAACATGGAGTCAGCCACTAGCAGGGACCCTCTTGAGTAAACATGGAGTCAGCCACTAGCAGGGACCCTCTTGAGTAAACATGGAGTCAGCCACTAGCAGGGACCCTCTTGAGTAAACATGGAGCCGGCCACTAACAGGGACCCTCTTGAGTAAACATGAGTCAGCCACTAGCAGCCACTAACAGGGACCATCTTGAGTAAACATGGAGTCAGCCACTAACAGGGACCCTCTTGAGTAAACATGGAGTCAGTAGTCACTAACAGGGACCATCTTGAGTAAACATGGAGTCAGCCACTAACAGGGACCCTCTTGAGTAAACATGGAGTCAGCCACTAACAGGGACCATCTTGAGTAAACATGGAGTCAGCCACTAACAGGGACCATCTTGAGTAAACATGGAGCCAGCCACTAACAGGGACCCTCTTGAGTAAACATGGAGTCAGCCACTAACAGGGACCATCTTGAGTAAACATGGAGTCAGCCACTAACAGGGACCCTCTTGAGTAAACATGGAGCCCTCTTGAGTAAACATGGAGTACTAACAGGGACCCTCTTGAGTAAACATGGAGTAGTCAGCCACTAACAGGGACCCTCTTGAGTAAACATATAGCCGGCCACTAACAGGGACCCTCTTGAGTAAACATGGAGTAAGCCACTAACAGGGACCCTCTTGAGTAAACATGGAGTCAGCCACTAGCAGGGACCCTCTTGAGTAAACATGGAGTCAGCCACTAACAGGGACCCTCTTGAGTAAACATGGAGTCAGCCACTAACAGGGACCCTCTTGAGTAAACATGGAGTAAGCCACTAACAGGGACCCTCTTGAGTAAACATGGAGTAAGCCACTAACAGGGACCCTCTTGAGTAAACATGGAGTCAGCCACTAACAGGGACCCTCTTGAGTAAACATGGAGTCAGCCACTAGCAGGGACCCTCTTGAGTAAACATGGAGTCAGCCACTAACAGGGACCCTCTTGAGTAAACATGGAGTCAGCCACTAACAGGGACCCTCTTGAGTAAACATGGAGTCAGCCACTAGCAGGGACCCTCTTGAGTAAACACATAGTCAGCCACTAACAGGGACCCTCTTGAGTAAACATGGAGTCAGCCACTAACAGGGACCATCTTGAGTAAACATGGAGTCAGCCACTAACAGGGACCCTCTTGAGTAAACACATAGCCGGCCACTAACAGGGACCCTCTTGAGTAAACATGGAGTAAGCCACTAACAGGGACCCTCTTGAGTAAACATGGAGTCAGCCACTAGCAGGGACCCTCTTGAGTAAACACTAACAGGAGTCTTGAGTAAACATGGAGTAAGCCACTAACAGGGACCCTCTTGAGTAAACATGGAGTAGGAGCCACTAACAGGGACCCTCTTGAGTAAACATGGAGTCAGCCACTAACAGGGACCCTCTTGAGTAAACATGGAGTCAGCCACTAGCAGGGACCCTCTTGAGTAAACATGGAGTCAGCCACTAACAGGGACCCTCTTGAGTAAACATGGAGTCAGCCACTAGCAGGGACCCTCTTGAGTAAACACATAGTCAGCCACTAACAGGGACCCTCTTGAGTAAACACACTAGCAGGGACCACTAACAGGGACCCTCTTGAGTAAACACTTGAGTCAGCCACTAGCAGGGACCCTCTTGAGTAAACATGTAGCCGCCACTAACAGGGACCCTCTTGAGTAAACATGGAGTCAGCCACTAACAGGGACCCTCTTGAGTAAACACAGAGCCGGCCACTAACAGGGACCCTCTTGAGTAAACACAGAGCCGGCCACTAACAGGGACCCTCTTGAGTAAACACAGAGACGGCCACTAACAGGGACCCTCTTGAGTAAACACAGAGCCAGCCACTAACAGGGACCCTCTTGAGTAAACACAGAGCCAGCCACTAACAGGGACCCTCTTGAGTAAACACACAGCCGGCCACTAACAGGGACCCTCTTGAGTAAACACAGAGCCGGCCACTAACAGGTACCTCTTGAGTAAACACAGAGCCGGCCACTAACAGGGACCCTCTTGAGTAAACATGGAGTCAGCCACTAACAGGGACCCTCTTGAGTAAACATGGAGCCGGCCACTAGCAGGGACCATCTTGAGTAAACATGGAGCCAGCCACTAACAGGGACCCTCTTGAGTAAACATGGAGCCGGCCACTAGCAGGGACCATCTTGAGTAAACACATAGCCGGCCACTAACAGGGACCCTCTTGAGTAAACATGGAGTCAGCCACCCACTGTCACAAGTAATTTCTTGAAGGAGAAAAAAACAATTGTCTTAATATGGTCAATAAATAATTTATTTGCAAAGTTGATTCTAGTTCTAAAGTTGCCATGGTAACAACAGTAAACAGGATTGTATAATTTTACAGAATGTTTGTACAAAACTGGTGACAAGAAATCACAACACAGACCATACAAAACACCAGGCTGAACAGTAATCATGTTCATGCAGTTGGGCTAATGTTGCCATGGAAACAAGACCTCACTACCAGTGTTGATAACCAGACCTGGGTATAGAAGTGATCTCAACAGTCGGCATACACGGATAACACTTAGCGAAACTTGCAGGAAATGTCAACATGTTACAGCCACTGACTGGTGTCTCATGCATTCCCCATAGTGTATATACAGAACATGGAGGAAGGGGCGTTGGGAACACCTTATGTAAATTCATGCAATTCAAATAGAATAATAGGTTTTGGTGAGTTGTTCTCTTCAGATTTGATGTCAAGATTCTTGAGGGGGTCACCTTGGTATGAAGACTATTGTTAACCTGGGGACTTGGTATCAAGACAATTGTGAAAGTGGGGACTTGGTATCAAGACTATTGTTAAAGTGGGGACTTGGTATCAAGACTATTGTGAAAGTGGGGACTTGGTATCAAGACTATTGTGAAAGTGGGGACTTGGTATCAAGACTATTGTGAAAGTGGGGACTTGGTATCAAGACAATTGTGAAAGTGGGGACTTGGTATCAAGACTATTGTGAAAGTGGGGACTTGGTATGAATCTATTGTTAAAGTCTGGACTTGGTATCAAGACTATTGTGAAAGTGGGGACTTGGTATCAAGACTATTGTGAAAGTGGGGACTTGGTATCAAGACTATTGTTAAAGTGGGGACTTGGTATCAAGACTATTGTGAAAGTGGGGACTTGGTATCAAGACTATTGTTAAAGTGGGGACTTGGTATCAAGACTATTGTGAAAGTGGGGACTTGGTATCAAGACATTGTGAAAGGGGACTTGGTATGAAGACTATTGTGGTGGGGACTTGGTATGAAGACTATTGTGAAAGTGGGGACTTGGTATCAAGACTATTGTTAAAGTGGGGAAAGTGGGGACTTGGTATTAAGACTATTGTTAAAGTGGGGACTTGGTATCAAGACTATTGTGAAAGTGGGGACTTGGTATGAAGACTATTGTTAAAGTGGGGACTTGGTATGAAGACTATTGTGAAAGTGGGGACTTGGTATCAAGACTATTGTGAAAGTGGGGACTTGGTATCAAGACACCAGTGAAAGTGGGACTTGGTATGAAGACTTTGTGAAAGTGGGGACTTGGTATCAAGACTATTGTGAAAGTGGGGACTTGGTATGAAGACTATTGTGAAAGTGAGGACTTGGTTTTAAGACTATTGTTAAAGTGGGGACTTGGTTTTAAGACTATTGTTAAAGTGGGGACTTGGTATGAAGACTATTGTTAAAGTGGGGACTTGGTATGAAGACTATTGTGAAAGTGGGGACTTGGTTTTAAGACTATTATTAAAGTGGGGACTTGGTATGAAGACTATTGTGAAAGTGGGGACTTGGTATGAAGACCATTGTTAAAGTGGGGACTTGGTATGAAGACTATTGTGAAAGTGGGGACTTGGTATGAAGACTATTGTTAAAGTAGGGACTTGGTATGAAGACTATTGCACATGTACCCTGATTACTGATGCCCCATAATGACTGTAAACTGTAAATGCTGACCCCACACAAAACTAGAATCACTCACTTCTGCCCCTTTGTCGTACAAAATCAGAAACTAAAAGTACAATTCAAATACTGAATATTTCCAACTTGTTCTCTAAAACATCAAACCAGCAGCCTGTGAACATCCCCTGCCTGAACTGCTATCTCACTCCAGGACATTCTGGTGACAACACGGAGCTGCTACCTCACTCCAGGACATTCTGGTGACAACACGGAACTGCTATCTCACTACATCTTGTTGAGGAACCTTCACACCTACAGCAACTCTGGGGAGTTTTGTGAGTAACGACAAACTTGTCACAGCACTCATGTTAGAACAAGTTGAAGTGACGGCAGAAGCCGATGGTGACCAGAAAGAGGGGTGTGGGTGGGTCGGTGGGGCTGATGTCAAGTGACAGAGTGGGTATGGGGGCTGCATATTGAAATATTTGTGGGACTTGCCATCACTTAAACACAAACATTGACCAGAAATGTACACAGAAAATGCATAACTGTATTTATTGTGGGGAGACTAGGATCAGTTGTTATCTAGTGTACATCAGTAAAGAATGTGACAAATGGGTGTCAGGCTGGTTATTCTGTGTTGCTAAATGTTAGGTGTCTCGGGGACAAATTTTCACAACAAATATTTAACAAAGCAAAGACAATATTAATCCACAATGAACATCCTGATGTGACGCTCAGTGTCACAATGTTAAAAAGACTCAGGATTACACAATGTTACATGATCTGGGGATTCGTCAGCTAGATGTGTCACTGAGTGTTACAATGTTTCAAAATCTTAGGGTTCCTTCAGCGAGATGTGTCACAATGTTACATAGTCTTCAGATCAATTTGATTTTAGAACCTCCACAACACATAGCATATTAATTTGATCTCCAGACAGTGGATCTCCTGCCTTATTAATGCACAGGATCTCCGACCACATTAGCGCACAGGATCTCCGACCACATTAACGCACAGGATCTCCTGCTTTTAGCACAGCTGTCTCTCTTCAGGATAGCACCTTCATGTCAGCTAGTCTCACTACGTTCTTCACATGCAAACACAAGAGAATGACACTGCAGCTGTCACTTGTCACGGGTAAATACAGCTGTCACGTCACTACAGCTGTCTTATGTCACTACATCTGTCTCGTGACTACAGCTGTCTCAGATCACTACAGCCATCACGTCACTACAGCTGTCTCACGTCACTACAACTGTCTCACGTCACTACAGCTGTCTCACGTCACTACAACTGTCACTATACTACAGCCATCACGTCACTACACTTGATGAGGGCTCAACTACACACATTAAGGTGATAATGTACATGTTCAGGGTATATACACGGTTATATACAGGGTATGTACAGGGGCACACTATGTACACTTGGCCATTGTCCACCACGGTCACCATCACACAATAAATTAACACACGGAAGCAGCAAGCAGAAGGTCCTGGTGGCAGAACACATCATCAGGAAAAGCTGAAGCGTTGTCCTCCGAGACATCAGGGACTTATAAACAGCACAACACATGCACTAAAACACCACTTGATCATTTGTGTAATACATAAAGCCAGTAGCCGATCTGCCAAAGAATGTATCTGTCCACATAGCTGAGGACCACAGTTCCCACATTCTGCCTTATCTGTACATACAGCAGTCTACAGGCAGAGGCTGGCAATGTCATTCCACTGGCTAAGGCAATAATCAGCAGAGACACACAGTAACATACAGGTGTCCCTCAACTAGAGTGACCGTGTCAACAGGTGTCCCTCAACTTGAGTCACTGTGTCAACAGGTGTCCCTCAACTTGAGTCACTGTGTCAACAGGTGTCCCTCAACTAGAGTGACCGTGTCAACAGGTGTCCCTCAACTAGAGTGACCGTGTCAACAGGTGTCCCTCAACTAGAGTGACCGTGTCAACAGGTGTCCCTCAACTAGAGTGACCGTGTCAACAGGTGTCCCTCAACTAGAGTGACCGTGTCAACAGGTGTCCCACAGGCATTGAAGTATGTCACAGGTAACACAGTCACAGGTAACACAGTCACAGGTAATACAGTCACAACTTCACACAGTTGTCACCATACATGGTCTTTTGTTGTCATCCTCTACACTGTTTTCATCGATTTTCATTGAGTTATTCAGATATGACTGTCTTCGTCTTGCCAACAACATTTCAGTTTTGGTGGCGTGTTTAGAACCCAGAGTTGGAAGACCTGATCGTTTGTTGTCTGTGATCACGATGTCGGTAGTGACCTCTGACCTGTTGTTCTGGACCACTGGTTGTTGTTCTGGTTTTGGGGCAGCTGGTGGGCTGTAGTTAAATGGGGGAACTATTGCCGAGGGGCTGGTGCGGGACTCCTGCCAAAGAGTTCCTGCCTTGGGGTTTGCCAGCAGATTGCGACAGTTCTCTGTCAACTTGGCATCATCCTTGCTCTTCTTGTCCTTTCCCTGCTTCTGAGAACCGGAAGATTTTGCTAAGGCCTGGTTTCTTTCCAAACAGAGTTGACTTGATGCTTTGAGCAACAGACTTCCCTTCTTTCTTGGAGCTTTTGGATTTTGATTTTCCATCCTTCTTGCTGTCCCGCTTGACCCAGATCTGTGGCTCCCCTGTCGGGGCCGAGGTCATCTCGTCAGGGTACCTCCGCCACACGTTCCCCGGCATGCTGTCATCACAAGATTGGTTGACAATTGTGGACAAGGAGCTGGGCACAGACCGACAGGTTTCGTCTGCATTGGGGAGAGTAAGAGATCCTTCTGCTCGCTTCTTCTTCCAAGTTCCACTGTTCACAGGCAGGGAATGCATTGAGATGTCATCAAGAGAGTCGACAGAGCAGGAGAGGCTCGACATGCAGCTGTTATCGTACAGGAGGGTGGAGTCAGACTTGTCATTGATCCCATTGACAGCCACATGGATGCTGTCAGTCGTCTCGCAGTGGTTCAGCTGGGTCAGTGATGGACTTTCTTGGAAGGCCGTTTTAAATCACATTCAAGGTCATCCTCAACATCCACAACATCAGAGGAAGGGACACTGCCAGCATCCAGGTCTGCAGAGATTTTGTCATATGTGCTACTTTTAGTTATACCTTCTTTAGGAACTTGCTCAGTAGCAAGAGAGTCTGTTCGTTTGGGTGGTGGTGGCTTATTGGTTCTCGGCTTGCCACTAGGTGCTGGGAGGTTGCTGGGCTTTGGAGGGGAGCTCTTGGTCTTGGCTGCTGCTGCAGAAACAGGAAGTCTGGAAGCTGTTGCTGGTGGTGGAGAGTCTCCATCCTCTTTCTTCCAAAGAGTTGCAATCTTACTTGGCACCTGCTTCTTCCCGCCTACCGGTGGCTTCTTGTCAGAAGTGGGTGTGGCAACCTTCTTGTCTCCACCCGCTGAGAAAGTTTTGTTAGGCGATGCTCCCTCACTCTTCCTGCCTCCGACACTGGTGTTAGATGGACGTCGTCCAACAGGGGTTGTAGGTCTGGAATTAGTTTTCAGACTTGCATTACTGTCAGATTTCTTAAGTTCTGATTTGCTCTCTAGTCTCTTGAGGTTGGAGGCAGAGCCCCCACGGTTGAGGGAGCTTCCGCTGCTGGTTTTGCAGAGGCTGGACCCGCTCTGGGTTTTGGTGAGGCTTGTTCCACTGCTGGTCTTGCGCAGGTTGCCACCACTCCCAGACTTATTCAAGTTGCTCTTGCTGTTACTTCTTGGAGGAGTTGTCTGCCCCTGGACTGGACGAGCAAGGTTAGAAGGCTTCTTACCAGCCAAAGAAGTATTTGCTGTTCTTTTCACTGAGCCTGACCCATCATTTCCATTTCTCTGCATCTGAATTTGTTTGTACCGTGCATCATAACCATTTTCTTGAGGGGTGTCTACCATGAAGTTGAAACTATCCAGTGCTTTACTCCAAGCCTCGTTTTGGCTTCCTCCAGAATTCCTATTAGAACCTCCAGAATTACGCTGATTCTGAGATGGGGATGTTTTCTTTTCTCTCATCTTCACAGATTCTGAATTGGTCTTGTTGGCATTGTGGTCCATATCTATAGTAGGTGCACTCACAGATGCTGTGTCCTTAGTGAACGTCCCCTGTTTGATGAGAGGTTTTGGTCGGTCGGTCTTAGTCTTCGCTGCATTGTCTTTAGAAGACTGTAGCTTGGACTGGGGACTGGTTTTAGCCAGCGGTGACCTTGGAATGCTGGATGCTGAGTTGCTCCTGTTGGTAGCTGCTGGGCTGCGAGACTGACGTCTATTAGCAGCAGTTTTGTTGGGTGTGCTACTGGCACTTGGACCCTGGGTCTGAGATCGAGGAGACACTTTCTTTAACCCTGTGGTCTGGTTCTGAGGCTTGGCAGCTGGAGACCTGCTGTTGGTGACAGGGCGTGCACTGTGTGTGCTTACTTCTGATCTGGTTGTTGATGTCGATCTAACCGATGATGTAGACGACCTGCTGCTGTTGGTGTACAGAGGTTTTCTGCGTCCTCTCACAGCTGCCGTGTTCCCCTTGGGTGGTGTTCGGTTCAAATTCTCTTTGTCAGGTTTCACTATTTTTGGTCGTTTCTGTGATGCTACTGATCCCTCTGTCTGTGAGATGGTGGATCCTGAATACTCACTGACTTTCTCCGATGTGTTGGACCAGGACACAGACACCTCCGATGCTGTGTCCGAGGTGTAGTCATTAGACACAAGTGACATCGTCTCGTTCTCAATGAACATGTCATCATCACAGACACTACCAGACATCTGGTTGGTGGACAGTTCAGACACAATCAAGCTGGCATTTTCTTCAAGTAACAGAATATCTTCAGGTGAGATTTCTTCTTCAAATGAGCTGGAGGTGTCTCGATTGTTCATGATTGTCTCATCGGCCAGGACGTTTCTGACAACCGTTGTGTCTGCTTCGTTCCCTGACACCTCAGACTCGTCCATAATTCCGTCGTCTTCTGTATTGAGATCCTGCGGGAAGGAGGTGTCCATCACATCATCACAGCTGCCCTGGGACTGGGTCAGAGCCATCTTCATGATGAAGCTGTCGTTTAGATGGGACTTCTCACTGTCGATCTTCTCTGTCATGGAGTCGGTGACTGCTGAGTCACAGCTCGCCGTGAGCAGCTTCTCCCGCAACGCCCTCGCCTCCTCCAGCATGCGGTTATCATATGATACAGTCGTCTCCTCCAACGTGTCAGCAGACTCACGAAAGGGCCGGTTCATTTTGGCGATTTCACTGTTAGAACTGTCTTTCTTGGCCTTGACAAAGTATTCGCTGTCCTGTGAGTGGGACCGCTTCCAGCCGAAGCGTGAGTTGTGTTGTGAGGACTGCGTGTGCCAGGAGCTGGCTAGAGATTCCTGAGTGCTGGAGGAGTGAGACACCCGCTGTATTTCCCCAGCATCTGAGCAGCTGTAGGACATAGCCTTGCTCCCGGGCTTCTTGAACACACCCTCGTCCATCGAGTCATCGGACCTCATTTCCAGGGACGTACTCTTGGACAACTTCTTGTCACTCTTAACTTTACCCCCAATTGAACGTCTAAACTTGTCCTCCCCACGACTGATCCGACTCTTTGGCATGGCTGAACTGATACATTCATCTAGTAGCGCCTGTTCTGATGGCGTGGGGTCAAAGGCTGTGGATTCGATGCTGAGCTCACTAAGAGAGCTGTTCCGAGAAAACACAGTTGGAGTGTCCTCCACCTTGAAAGGCACACGCTGGTCTGTGATCACAGTGGTGTCTGATGTAGGTTTGTTGGGCTCGGGGCTGTGTAGAGAACTCAGTGAGGAGTTTCTGGAGAAACACATGGGAGTGTCTTCCATTGCATACCGCTTACAGTTATCCTCGCTGTCCTTGGTGTGGTCAATGATGACACTGCTCTCTTCACTGGACTGCCCCACAACATGTCTCTCTTTGGGGATGGAGCTGGAGCTGGAGCTGACTGTGTCGGAAACCTCATCATGCTTCTCCACCAGACCCTGCATGTCTCCGCTCAGCATGCTCAGCTCGCTCAGGGAATCGTTGCGTGAGAATACGAGAGGTGTGCCTTCTACCTGATACACTTGTGGAGAGTCCACCGAGTCCCCCTCCATAGAACACAGTCATCTATCTGACCTTGGCTAGCCGATGTCATATTGGAAACCTTATGTGTGTCAGACGCCCTGAACCTGGCTGTATCATCCACAGAATCAATAGTCAGATCGCTGAGTGACGTCGCATTCGAAAAGTTGAGAGGAGTCCCCTCAACAGCATAAGACTTCACGGTATCGGCCGCTTCACAGGACTTGGATGTCGCTTGTGGTTGAGTGGCAACACTTGATGTTCTCTGTGGTTGGAAGGTTGCGGGAGCACCAAGCAACTGTCGGACTGGAGCAACTTGAGCTGCTGGGATTTTAGAAGATGAGGAAGGTGGTGAGTGTTTGATGAGTGGGACAACTTGGGATGCTGGTTTTTGGTTGATATCTTCAGCACCTTCGGCCTGACGGTCCATGTCTAAACGTCGGGCTACTTTACTTTTCGGCATGGCTGCTTGAATGACCTGTGACACAAGCAACTCCTCAGTCTCCTCACAGAGGGAGCTGTTGTCAGATGTGATGTCAGAGGTTATGTCCTCCACTGCGGGTGCTGGGGACTGCTTTATGGAAGTATCGTCAAACGACAGTGAGCTCAGGTCACTCACTGAATTAGCATTGGAGAAGTTGAGAGGCGTTCCCTCTGTGGCGTATGTCTTGACTGTGTCAACGTTAAAGTCTGGGGAGTAACTGTCTATGTCTGCATGACTTGGCTGTCTGGGGGTGGACTGCTGCTGGGCATCGCTCACATACTGCAGGTGATGTGGTGTGGAGACAGTTGGCACAACAGGAGGCTTGTTGGGTGTGAGTTGAGGCCGAGCTTGAGGCCCAACAGAGTGGGGACCTCCTGTCTGGGGGGTCTGTGGAAGGCGATTGTTTTGAGGACCTCTAGGTGTTTGAGGTCCCCGATTTGGTCCTCCACGGGGAGTCTGTGGTGATCTGGGAGCAGGCTGAGCTAAATGTGATGCTAGTGAAGATTTAGTTGTGCTCTGAGCTATACGGGAACCAGTCTTCCTGTCTTCAGTTTTACTAGGTGTCAGTGGAATAGTCTTACCTGGAGGACTTAACTTCCCGCCAGGAGATTTTGGGTCTTTACGTGGGAGTTTGTTGACAGCTGTGGGAGATTTGGAAGCTTGAGCTGTGATATTTGTCACTTTCGTTGGAAGCTTGGATTTCGTGGCTGACCCAAGGTTATCAATCTTTGGCACACCAGACTTCTTCTTGATTGCATTGTCTGACGAGCTTTTCCTCATCTTGCGGCTTGAGTTATTTGGCACTGGCATAGCGGAGCTGATGCACTGAGCTAAGATGTCCTCTTCTCCCTCAGACACCTCCGACATGGAAGAATTCTCTTCATTTAAATGGTTGGAAGCCTTGGTGTCTTCAGATGTACTGTCATCCTGGTTGAGGTCGGTCTTCTTTCCTACAGCCTCGTCATCGATGGTCAGTGCACTGAGCATGCTGTGTGTGTCGGACATAGTGGGTGGTGTGCCTTCGTCTGCATATACCACCGGGGCCTCCATCTTGCTGACCACAGACAGGTTGTCAGCAGCTATCAGGGCTGCCAGGCTGGACACAGGTTGGGCAACATCAGAATCACAGACAATCTCCTCGGTGAAGTCTTCTGGTTTCTGCGCCAAGTCTGCCTTTTCTTCCTGTGGTTCTGGTTTTGGACTTGTAGGCATTGTTTCACTAGGGGAGTCAGGGAGTTCGCTGGGAGACACAACCTCGCTCGCCAGCCGACTGTACTCACTGATCACCGAGCTGTGCACAGATTGAGTATCAAAACTGCTGAGAGACCCCAGTGAGCTGCAGCGGGAGAACATGAGTGGAGTCTCCTCCACGTGATGGTGATCATCAAATGTCACTGTCTTGTGCTCCTTCTCCACAACTTCTGCCGTCCCTGGTGTGGTAGATCCGGCTGTTCCAGGAGTTGTAGATCCGCCTGTTCCAGGCGTGGTAGATGAAACTGTCCCAGATGTCTTGATTGTCTTCCTTGCCTCTGAGTTCTCGATCACTGACGCAGACATTGCCTCTCCCTTCTCCGATTCCTCTATGCTGGAAAGAACAAGGTGATGGCGGCCTCCATGGGACTCAGGCAGATCCCGAGCTTCACTGCTGTGCAGGCTGCTGAGAGAACTGACTCTGGAGAAGCAGACTGGTGTCCCCTCCTCGCAGTATGTCTTTGGCTGGTCCATGGGCACATCCCTGGATGTTGGGGAGTGGAAGGACTGCTCCAGTATCGCGTCTGCAGCCTCGCCACCGTCAGGGTTGGCACTGCTGGCGTCCACTGCCACCACAGTGGGCCCTGTCTCAGCAGGATTAGATGCACAATTCGGCTCTTCAAATGTGTTGCTGTAGTCCTTTGTTTCATCCTCTGCTTCTTCACACTCTTTCTTAGGCTCTGCTTCCTCTTTGTATTGAATCTTGCCAGTGAGATCTGTGAGTGACGTAGCCGTGGACAGGTAGGGTGTCCCTTCCGTGCAGAACGTCTTAACCTGGTCATCAGTGAAGAAACTAGGCATATACTCATCAAGTCTCTCATTGGTCCTGCGAGCTTCTTCCAGTTTGCAATCGGCACAGTGTGGGTCAGATTCCTCATATGGTGTGCTTGAATCTGTCTCAGCTTCCTGATATCGTACATTGTTTTCAGGCTGGTGATATCGTTGACTGGGATCTGCTTCTTGATATCGACCATTGTTTTCAGCCTGGTGATATCGTTGGCTGGGATCTGCTTCTTGATATCGACCATTGTTTTCAGCCTGGTGATATCGTTGACTGGGATCTGCTTCTTGATATCGACCATTGTTTTCAGCCTGGTGATATCTTTGGCTAGGGTCTGCCTCCTGATATCGTACACTGTAGTTAATTGGCTGGTCCTGGAAAGTTTCCTCTACATTCTCCGCATACCTGAGACTGAAGTTGGTGGGCTGATCATCCATGTCGATGTCAGTCTCAGCGTATGCTCCATACTGGGTGGGGATGCCCTGATGTGCTCCGACATTGCGGTGACGAGGCTCATAAACGTTGCGGGTGTTGTTGGGAGCTGGGAATCGGTTGTGCACCATGTTCGGCATAGCTCTTGGTACCATTGTGGAGCCAACAAAATTTCCAACTTTGACCTGAGGTCGATTATTAAGCTGGTCTCCACGACTACCGCCAGCACCAACATCCTGGTATTTTAGACTGTAGTTGATTGGCTGTTCATCCCCTTCGGCCCCTGTGTCACCCACGTCGACATTGTTCCTCTTGGGGCCGATATACATTTCCTTAGCATTCGGAAGGTAGTTGAAAGGCTTCTTACCAAATTGTTCAATGAGGCTTCTTTGAGGACCATTGAAGTTTCCTGCCTTGATCTGAGCCGACTGATATGCCAGAGCACGAACATTGCGAGGACTTTGTTGGGATTCAGGTTCCACCGTTGAATTGGCGGGTAGACCAGCATGCATTGCAACTTCCTGCATCACCTGGAGTATCCGACTGTTTGGTGCTCCGCCCACTCTGGTTCTATCCACAGCACCGCCGTCTGAGTTGAACCTGTGCAGTCCTCCTCCGTCCCGCTTCCTCTCCAGGCTGCCAGCCTGACGTTCGTGCAGTAGACGCGAGCTCTTGGCCAGCATGGTGTGTGCCCGCGAGCGGTCGTGGGAGATGTCGGAGTGGGTGCTTCCCACGCTATCCTGACTGCCAGATCGTGCAACCCGCTGCGGAGAGCGCAGTTTACCGTCCACTCCTGCACTGTCGGTACTTCCTGATCTCGGGAACATGTGACCTCGCATCATTGGTCGGCGAGGTTCTGTGTCAGCAACTGGGAAAACCACAACGTTGTCACCAGAGTAGCGGCGTGTGTAGGCGTTTTCCTTCTTGGTCTCAGTTGGACTGTTTCTCGGACTCTCGACATTCTCGCAGGTTTCTGCCAGGTTTTCATCCAACTCTTGTTCTAGCGCTCGGACTTTCCTGGCATGAAGGCCTGGACGGTTGGATCCCGAGATCCTGTCAAGATCCAGATTCTTCATAGCTGGCCGAGCTGAGAGCAGATTCTTGAGGGCAGCAGCACTTCCCATGGATATCATCTTGTGTTTGGAATGAACCAGGTTCCTCAGCATGCTGACCGCACCCATCTCCCACAAGGCTTGCTGGTCCTCCTGGCATCGAGCCGACAGGTTCCACAGGGTCCCACAAGCATTGCTCACAATCGTCAGACTCGTGGAACGCAGGTGCTTGAGCAGGAGCTGCAGGCAACTGTGTTGCCGTAACACCTTGCGGTAGTCCTCCCTCACGGCGATGTGGCTAGACACGTTGCGCAGGATTCCGCCGCCGTTCTCAATGATGGCGAGAGTCTTGGAAGGGCTCTTGTAGGTGAGCATACTGACCAGGAATTCCAGTGCCCCTGACACGGCACAGATGTCCGCCTTGTTCTCGGTGCAGTGAGCAGACAGGTTCCACAAGGCACTTAGAATACTCTTGAGAGTGGACTCCTTCTTCACTTGCATAGCTGCTGCCATCAGTGTGGTCACAGCGTTCACCTCACGGAGAGTCTTTTTACTGGCAAGGTCGGCACGCCAGGACAAGTTGCGCAGCACGCTGGCAGCTACCTGACACAGGTCTTCATTGGGTGAGCCAAGCTGGGCCACCAGGCCCTCCATCGCGCCCTTCATGGAGCACAGCAACGCCTTGTTGGTCCCATCACCGAATGTCAGGTTGGTCAGGGCCATGCATGCGTACCGCCTCATCGTGATGTTGTACTGCTCAGTGGTGGGGCCGTGGGCATCGTGATCCACCTCCAGCAACTCAGCTATAGCCTGTAGACCACCTGAAATAAAGACAGTAAATATAGAGGTGGAACCATCTGAGGAACAGATTACTGTAAAAACCATCTAGAAATTGTTTAAAGTAAAATTGATATTTTTATAAATTTTTCTCGTCATGGATCATTGTACAAAATTGCCACATAAATATAAATAGTACACATGTTTATCATTTACTAATACCCAACAGCTTTCTTATATTTGAAAATTTTCCGGACTCCACCAAAAAAGTTGTTTAAGAAACTATCATCATTGAAAACGCAAAAGTTGTTATCTGTCGCGGCGGGGTGAAACCGCAGAAACGGAACAGCCACTATCTCGTCGTGCACGGGATACACATGCCTGATGAAAAATGAAGTTGAATGCTGACGTGAAACAGTTGATGATTAAAGTGTACGATTTTTTCCGTGCTGAAGCCGAAAGGGGCAAACCATTTTATGCCATTAATAAATTCCGTAAGCGGGCAGCAAAAGCTTTAGGAGTATCAGCAAGGGTACTGACAAATGTTCTGGAACACAAACATTGTGAGGGTGATGCGAAGCAGGTAGGGGTCGTGTCAAAATCACACAAATTAAAACATTTGGACAACTTTCAAAAGAACCTTGTAAGGCAGTCTATCAACAAGCTCTATTCTGAAAACAAATACATGTCGCTGAAAATTTTTAAAAAGCATTTGAAGCAAGAACACAACCTCAGAGTATCAAAGTACACACTCTGGCGACTCTTACACTCTTTCGGGTATCGTTATAAGAAAATTTCGGGGGAGAATAGGTCAGTACTCTGTGAACGCCCTGATATCGTTCGCTTGAGAAATAATTTTCTCAGGGTTATAAAGAAGAAGCGCGAGGAAGGGTTCGAGCCAGTGTACTTGGACGAGACCTGGGTCAATGCCTCGCACACTGCCAGCAGTCAGTGGGTACCCGATGGGGGTGATAAGGGGTCACGTAGAAAGCTGCCTCTAGGGAAAGGAGAGAGACTAATCATTCTCCATGCTGGTTGCTCCAGCAAAGGCTTTCTCCCAGGCTGCGACTTGGTATTCAGGGCAAAGTCCACAGATAACAGAGACTACCATTCCGAGATGAATGGTGCGGTTTTCCTCGATTGGGTTAAAAACAAGTTGGTACCAGCTCTACCAGAGAAGTCTTTTATCGTAATGGACAATGCCCCATACCACAGCGTGCAGGACCCCGACAGTAAAGCCCCGACATCGAACAGTCGAAAAGGTGATATGATATCATGGCTCGACAAATTTCAGATCGCACGGCCTTCAAAGGCAACGAAGCCTCAGCTATATGAGATCATAAAAACCCACAAAGGTGAACCTTTCTACAAAGTTGACAGTTACATAAAAAGTAAGGGTCACGATATTCTGCGACTTCCACCCTATCACTGTGACCTTAACCCCATTGAAATGATATGGGGTATTGTCAAAGGAGATGTTGCCAGATCAAACACAACTTTTAGATTACGTGACGTAGAGGTTTTGGTTAAGGAATCCCTTAACAAAATCACGACTGAAACTTGGCAAAACTGTGTCAACAAGGTAGCTAACGTCATTGAACAAGGTTACTGGTCTCGGGATGGCTTACAACAGGCAACTGTGGCACCACTTGTCATCCCTTTAAGTCGTGACTATGACACTACGACGGACGAGGAACCGACAGGTCTCCCGGAATAGATTTTGAGATGTCCCCCGCCATGACTGGCTGTTCCGTTTCTGCGGTTTCACCCCGCCGCGACAGATAACAACTTTTGCGTTTTCAATGATGATAGTTTCTTAAACAACTTTTTGGTGGAGTCCGGAAAATTTTCAAATATAAGAAAGCTGTTGGGTATTAGTAAATGATAAACATGTGTACTATTTATATTTATGTGGCAATTTTGTACAATGATAAAATTTGCAATTCATCGGTCCGTTTCTGACTCAAACGGACTGCAAAAGCAGCCCTCCATAATTGCTGGTATAGAGCAATTTCCGTGCAGAGCCAGTGTTGACGCCAGTGCTCTGACTTTGTGTGGGTTGGAAGCTCTAGGAGGTTCTAGTCCTGCTGCTTTATAGGCTCTCAATATGACAGCTCTCATCCAGAACGATATCGTCGTTCTTGAGACTTCCGCTGATGTCTCTGTTGATAATGGGATGAACAGGTGCTTGAATTTTTGTCTCCTTGTCTCAGTCTTTTGAAGATATATCTTCAGGGCTCTGACCAGACACAAGGATAGGTCTTCTATATCCTCTGGGCTGAAGATTGCACATAGCCCTGGTATGTGGAACGGTCTATCTGGCTGACCAGGTAGTTGGTTCTTGGCAATGAAATCCCATCTAAGTCCTAGATGAACTGCAGCATGTTGCTCCGTGTCGAATCTGGTTCGACCAAAGTCCAGCGCATGTATCTCTGAAATTTGAGCTGCCGTGGTTAGCGCAAGCAGGAACAGAGTCTTCTGTGTCAGCAGCTCGAAGGTAGTCTTGTCTAGAGGTTCGTAGGCATCACTGGTAAGATGACGTAGAATTACATTCAGATCCCAGGCCGGAGCTCTGAACTTCTTTTGCTGGTCCTCCAGTTTAAAAGATCTCAGCAGAGCAAGTAATTCTGGTACTTTCGTCAACTTGATGCCTGTTTTCATGGTAATCACTGTACTGATGGCGGCGAGGTATGTAGATAATGTCGAACCTTTCAGATGTCTGGTCTGTCTAAGATGACACAGGCATTCCTACACTTGTGGATGAGTAGCTTTCATCGCAGTGAAGCCTTTCCGCCTTGCATAAGTCTCAAACTTCAGCCACTTGTCATCATACAGGTTATGAGTAGATCTGCGTAACGCTAGCATTACTGCCTTGGCTGCCCTGGCGGAGTATCCTCTTTTCTTCAAACATGTTCTGATACAGATGTATGAGTAGGTTAGGCCAATCTGTTAACTTGATTGTTGGACTTCCGAGATCTTCTATTAGGTCTAGGAACCATACTCTCGCTGGCCAGTATGGCGCGACCAAAGTCAGTTGTAGCACCTGTGTCTGTTTGATCTTCAACAGTACTTTCGGTAGTAATATCGGGGGTGGAAATGCATTAGCGTTTAGTCCTTCCCATGATATGTTCAGTGCATCTGTTGCCCAGGCTAGAGGATCTGGAACTGGTGAGACAAACGTCTGTAGTTGTTTGTTGAACCTCATGGCAAACAGGTCTATGCATGGGGATCCTATTTCCCTTATGATGAGCCGGAATGCTTCTGGATGGAGTATCCATTCCATAGGTGACGGGTGCAGTGGTCGGGAGAGAGCGTCTGCATGTACGTTCTTGGCTCCCGGGTATGTGACACGCCTTTATCCAGATGTTTGCTTCCTCCGTGATGGGGAACAACTGGAATGTGAGGTGTAGCAGGCTTGGAAACCTTGTCGATCCTTGCCGATTTATGGAGAATGCCACTGTAGAGTTGTCCGTGTGGACAATCAGCATTTTGTTGTTCCGTGAGCTCGACCATAGTTGTAAGGCGTTGATCACGGCTTTTATCTCCAGCAGATTGATGTGAAGATGCTGCTCTATTTTGGACCACCTTCCTGATGCAACTTGATTGTTGAGATGCGCACCCCAGCCCTGTATCGAATCGTCTACGTAGAGATGTGTGTAGAAGGCCGGCTCTTGTAAATAGGTCCCTCCACAAACGTTCAACCTGTGCGTCCACCACTGTAGATACCTCTTGAGGTTGTCTGGCAGCAAGATAGGGTCGACGCTGTCTAGATGTTTTGTCAGGAACCGTTGCAGCGGTCTTAGTTGTAACCTTCCTGTGCGAGTCAAGTCCTGCGCCGAGGTTAGTAGACCAAGTGGAACTTGCCATGATCGTAGTGTTAACGGAGCGATGACTGCTGGTGGAATCATGGCTTGTATTTTTACCCAACAATTGTCAGGGACGACAATACGATTCTGTGTTGTGATAAACCTTATCCCCAGAAAGTGCAAATCTTGTTTTGGTTCAAACTCTGAGTTCATAAGGTTCACCAGCCATCCTAGTTGAGTGAGCAATTTGATCGTGAAGTTCAGCTGTAGTCGGGAGTCGACTGGCATCTTGGTGAACCTGAATTCCATTGTCCAAGTAGAAGGCATTGCGTAGACCTCGATGATGTAGAGGACTATAGGCTTGGTTACTCGTGTGAATAGCCACAGAGCAGAAGATATTCCAAACGGTAGGACATTCCATTGGAAGTGCTGCCCTCTGAATAGGAATCGTAGATACTTTCTTGATTCCTGATGTATCGGGATGTGTAGGTACGCATCCTGCAGGTCTATGCTGGCCATGTAATCTGCTGGACCGACGAGTTGTCTGAGTTGAGGAAGGTGGATCATTCTGAACCTCTCTGGTTTCAGTAGATCTGAACTCCTCCTTGGAGTTCTTCTTGGGTACTAGAAAAATTGGGGTATATAATCCTGGAGTGAGATGATGCTGATCTATTATCTCTACTGCCTCCTTCATAAGTAGTGAGTTGATGGTTTCTTGTAGTTTGTCTGCCTGTTCCTCTGCATAGTTGAAGACCATTGGGCTGAGGGTTAGCGGAGGTGTGGCCTTGAGTTGTACTCTGTATCCTTCTCTCAGTACTTGGGAGACGTAGTCATCCTCTAGTATTCCCCAATTTTTCCAGTACCTTTGTAGACATCCACCCACTGTCGACGGTTTTACAGGAACGGCTGGGGGTGGAAGACTCCAGTCGTTCCAAACCTTGATATCAACATCTAGTTCCTCTGGATCCTGTGGGAGTGCAGCCTCTCCCTGAATTTCCTCTGTAATTTCCGGCTGGGCGACGAAAAGATCCTTTGCCGCCTCTGAAGCTGGGGTACTTCTTCTCCTTTGCTTTCTGTATGCCGGAATATTTGGACTTGCTGTTATACTTTTGCGAAGTATGACGGATGATGTTGGCCAGAGTATCTATGGATATTATCATCATAACTTCTCTAGAGTCGTGCGTAGCTTCTTTAGGTGCATCGTCTATTTGTCCTCCAAAGATAGTAGGCGCCTCCCATGGAGCTCTCAGCAGCGGTTGGGTGAATCTATCACTCCATGAACAGGACGCAAGTAGCCCTTGTCTGGGTCGTAAAGTGAGACCTGCAGATATAGATGCCAGATGGTCCGATAAAAAGTATTTGTCCTTCTGTGTTATGAGGGCCAAATATATCATTCTATCCTCTTCCGAACTTGAGTTCTGGAACTTATTGATCAATGCTTCATTGATGGCTCTGGACCTGGCCAACCCGAGTAGGATCTCCTTGTAGCAGTATCAAGTTGAGATAACTTTTTATCTTCCACTTTATACATCTTGTTTCGGGAGTCGTTGACTAACTTTATGTTATCATCCCATTCAGGCGCCTTTATAAATGGATCCATATGATGTAAGGGGAATCTCTTCACATTAAATGATGGCAGATGCTGACTCTGGTATTTGGATGCTTTCGCGAAAGCTGTGTGTAGGTTAGAGGGTACCTTGGATATAGGTTCAATCGGAGGGATAGTGACTGAGTCGAAGTCGTCGTTATGCATCACATAAGTGTAGACTTCATCTTTATCCTAAGAAGGAGACTCCAAGTTCAACCCGTTGGCAATCCACGCTGTAACCTCTGAGTCTGGGAAGACGAAGTCTGCTTGCTGATCCAGAGTCTCCTGATTATTAGAGCTAGGGCTCTGCGACTCATCCATCTGCGAACCTGTATCCCTTCTCGAACCTTCATCATCCTTTCGCGAACCTCTATCTGAAGATTCCTCCGTATGCGAACGTCTATCTTAACAGTGCTCTCTTAGCGAACCTCTATCTGTAGATTCATCTCTTCGTGAACCTCTGTGATGTGAGCTATCTCTTCGCGAACGTCTGTCGCTAGATGAATCCCTTTGCGAACTTCTGTGATGTGAGCCTTCTCTTTCGTGAACCTCGTGAAGAGTGACTTCGCCAACGTCTGTGAGAGATATGAGATCTTGATCTAGAGCGGCTATGTGTAGGAGATGGATCCTTCAATGTTCTCGAATTTACAATCGAATGTACAATTTTTTACATATAATACATAGTAGTTATTGCCAAATCCATACACAGCGTAATTTTGAAGAATAGGACCTAAATAAAAAGGACATAAAGCCGTATAAGGGACTCCAGTGCTCGCCCAAGTGGATGGGAGAGAGTGACAAGTAAGGCTGGTCACATGACTGTTTGCGTGGGAAAAGGGCAAAAGGGATGTAACTTGTGGGTGAGTGTATTTTTACGGATTCAAGTGTTCCACTACCATTCGAAAAGGAAAGGGAGATAAGCAAAAGATCATGAGTCAGGATAAGAAAAAAATTATACAATAAGACCATCTAAAAAGTTTAGTTAGACCACACAGAAAGTACAGAGAGATCATCTGGAATGTCATGTTGGACCATTTAGAATGTACATTTGGACCATAGAGAAGGTACAGTTGGGCCATAGAGAAGGTACAGTTGGGCCACATGGAAAGTACAGTTGGACCATCTGCAATGTACAGTTTGAATCATCTAGAGTGTACAGTTAGACCAAAGAAAATACAGATAGATCATCTTGAGTGAGTGAGTATGGTTTTACTCCGCTTTTAGCAATATTCCAGCAATATCACGGCGTGGAACACCAGAAATGGGCTTCACACATTGTACCAAAGTGGGGAAATGAACCTAGGTCATCAACGTGACAAACGAACGCTTTTAACCACTAGGCTACCCCAGCGCCCGAGATCATCTAGAAAATGGACAATGGACAATCCACAATGAACAGTTAGGCACAGTACAGAGGACCATCTGTGTTTACTCTGCGACCATGTGATGACTGACTGACTGAGGTTAGTTTTACGCCGCTTTTAGCAATATTCCAGCAATATCACGGCGGGGGACACCAGAAATGGGCTTAACACATTGTGCCCGTGTGGACCATGTGATGACCTTACCCAGAGTGCAGATAGCGTGGCGGTGCTCCTCATCAAAGGACAGCTTCATGAGTGCAGCTATGGCTGGGCCAGGATGGTGGTCAATGTCGGAGGCTCGTGCAGCTGCAGCAGGAAAAGAATGCATTGAAATGTCTACCCACAGGGGAATGTCTGCCAACAGGAGTATGACTACTGACAGGATCATTTCTACCAACTGGAGGATGTCTACCCAGAGAAGGATGTCTACCCACAGTAGGCCACCTCTCAACACAAGTAGCCCACCTCCAAACAGAGTAGTCAACACAAGTAGCCCACCTCCCAACACAAGTAGCCCACCTCCAAACAGAGTAGTCAACACAAGTAGCCCACCTCCCAACACAAGTAGCCCACCTCCAACACAAATAGCCCACCTCCCAACACAAGTAACCCATCTCCCAACACAAGCGGCCCATCTCCTAATACAAGTAGCTATAGCCTACCTCCACTTCCTGGCTTGTTGTTCTTTGGTTCGTCTTCCTCTTCAGAGTTATCTCCCCTTAATTGGTCACAGTGAGCTCGTATTTGTTCCAGAAGCCTCAGCACACGGGCTTCTCGCCGTCCGCGCTTGTCATCAGGGTGAGAATGAACAATGTTGTGCAGTGCCGCAGACGCACGTGCTCGGGCGGCTTTACTTCCTCTTGTGTTGCCGAGCAACCCGGAATCCTTGTCACTCCCATGCAGCAACTGTATCAACAACGGGAGACACCCTGGAAGCAGTAGAGCGTGAAATCAGCAACATCAACCGCAAGATCATACAGCAGCAGTAGAAGCTGAGAAGCCATCAGACAGCTGATGACAACTACAGCTGTTGACAACTACAGCTGATGACAACTACAGCTGATGACAACTACAGCTGATGACAACTACAGCTGTTGACAACTACAGCTGTTGACAACTACAGCTGATGACAACTACAGCTGATGACAACTACAGCTGTTGACAACTACAGCTGTTGACAACTACAGCTGATGACAACTACAGCTGTTGACAACTACAGCTGATGACAACTACAGCTGATGACAACTACAGCTGATGACAACTACAGCTGTTATTAGACTGAGGTCTCATGTTTAATGCTGACTGCCGTCCGAGTTGCACACTGTTCAGTTACTGACACAACAGTCACCCGACTATCTCACGGCTATACAGCTAGACTCTCCAGACTGTCTCATGGCTATACAGCTAGACTCACCAGACTGTCTCATGGCTATACAGCTAGACTCACCAGACTGTCTCACGGCTATACAGCTAGACTCACCAGACTGTCTCATGGCTATACAGCTAGACTCACCTGACTGTCTCATGGCTATACAGCTAGACTCACCCGACTGTCTCATGGCTATACAGCTAGACTCACCCGACTGTCTCATGGCTATACAGCTAGACTCACCAGACTGTCTCATGGCTATACAGCTAGACTCACCCGACTGTCTCACGGCTATACAGCTAGACTCACCCGACTGTCTCATGGCTATACAGCTAGACTCACCAGACTGTCTCATGGCTATACAGCTAGACTCACCCGTCTCATGGCTGTCTCACTGTCTATGGCTATACAGCTAGACTCACCCGACTGTCTCTCATGGCTATACAGCTAGACTCACCCGACTGTCTCATGGCTATACTAGACTCACCCTCGACTGTCTCATGGCTATACAGCTAGACTCACCCGACTGTCTCATGGCTATACAGCTAGACTCACCCGACTGTCTCATGGCTATACAGCTAGACTCACCCGACTGTCTCATGGCTATACAGCTAGACTCACCTGACTGTCTCATGGCTATACAGCTAGACTCACCCGACTGTCTCATGGCTATACAGCTAGACTCACCCGACTGTCTCATGGCTATACAGCTAGCTAGACACCCGACTGTCTCATGGCTATACAGCTAGACTCCCCAGACTGTCTCATGGCTATATGGCTATACAGCTAGACTCACCAGACTGTCTCATGGCTATACAGCTAGACTCACCAGACTGTCTCATGGCTATACAGCTAGACTCACCCGACTGTCTCATGGCTATACAGCTAGACTCCCCAGACTGTCTCATGGCTATACAGCTAGACTCACCAGACTGTCTCATGGCTATACAGCTAGACTCCCCAGACTGTCTCATGGCTATACAGCTAGACTCACCAGACTGTCTCATGGCTATACAGCTAGACTCACCCGACTGTCTCATGGCTATACAGCTAGACTCACCCGACTGTCTCACTGTCTCATGGCTATACAGCTAGACTCACCTAGACTCACTGTCTCTCATGGCTATACAGCTAGACTCACCAGACTGTCTCATGGCTATACAGCTAGACTCACCCGACTGTCTCATGGCTATACAGCTAGACTCACCCGACTGTCTCATGGCTATACAGCTAGACTCACCCGACTGTCTCATGGCTATACAGCTAGACTCACCAGACTGTCTCATGGCTATACAGCTAGACTCACCCGACTGTCTCATGGCATAACACAGCTAGACTCACCCGACTGTCTCATGGCATAACACAGCTAGACTCACCTGACTGTCTCATGGCTATACAGCTAGACTCACCCGACTGTCTCATGGCTATACAGCTAGACTCACCCGACTGTCTCATGGCATAACACAGCTAGACTCACCAGACTGTCTCATGGCTATACAGCTAGACTCACCCGACTGTCTCATGGCTATACAGCTAGACTCACCCGACTGTCTCATGGCTATACAGCTAGACTCACCAGACTGTCTCATGGCTATACAGCTAGACTCACCTGACTGTCTCATGGCTATACAGCTAGACTCACCCGACTGTCTCATGGCTATACAGCTAGACTCACCCGATTGTCTCATGGCTATACAGCTAGACTCACCAGACTGTCTCATGGCTATACAGCTAGACTCACCCGACTGTCTCATGGCATAACACAGCTAGACTCACCCGACTGTCTCATGGCTATACAGCTAGACTCACCCGACTGTCTCATGGCTATACAGCTAGACTCACCTGACTGTCTCACGGCTATACAGCTAGACTCACCCGACTGTCTCATGGCTATACAGCTAGACTCACCCGACTGTCTCATGGCTATACAGCTAGACTCACCTGACTGTCTCACGGCTATACAGCTAGACTCACCCGACTGTCTCATGGCATAACACAGCTAGACTCACCAGACTGTCTCATGGCTATACAGCTAGACTCACCCGACTGTCTCATGGCTATACAGCTAGACTCACCTGACTGTCTCACGGCTATACAGCTAGACTCCCCAGACTGTCTCATGGCTATACAGCTGGCACCCGACTGTCTCATGGCTATACAGCTAGACTCACCCGACTGTCTCATGGCTATACAGCTAGACTCACCCGACTGTCTCATGGCTATACAGCTAGACTCACCCGACTGTCTCATGGCTATACAGCTAGACTCACCCGACTGTCTCATGGCTATACAGCTAGACTCACCTGACTGTCTCACGGCTATACAGCTAGACTCACCCGACTGTCTCATGGCATATACAGCTAGACTCACCAGACTGTCTCATGGCTATACAGCTAGACTCACCCGACTGTCTCATGGCTATACAGCTAGACTCACCTGACTGTCTCATGGCTATACAGCTAGACTCCCAGACTGTCTCATGGCTATACAGCTAGACTCAGACTGTCTCACCAGACTGTCTCTGTCTCATGGCTATACAGCTAGACTCACCAGACTGTCTCATGGCTCTACAGCTAGACTCACCCGACTGTCTCATGGCTATACAGCTAGACTCACCCGACTGTCTCATGGCTATACAGCTAGACTCACCCTGACTGTCTCATGGCTATACAGCTAGACTCACCAGACTGTCTCATGGCTATACAGCTAGACTCACCCGACTGTCTCATGGCTATACAGCTAGACTCACCAGACTGTCTCATGGTTATACAGCTAGACTCACCCGACTGTCTCATGGCTATACAGCTAGACTCACCCGACTGTCTCATGGCATAACACAGCTAGACTCACCAGACTGTCTCATGGCTATACAGCTAGACTCACCTGACTGTCTCACGGCTATACAGCTAGACTCCCCAGACTGTCTCATGGCTATACAGCTAGACTCACCAGACTGTCTCATGGCTATACAGCTAGACTCACCCGACTGTCTCATGGCTATACAGCTAGACTCACCCGACTGTCTCATGGCTATACAGCTAGACTCACCCGACTGTCTCATGGCTATACAGCTAGACTCACCAGACTGTCTCATGGCTATACAGCTAGACTCACCAGACTGTCTCATGGCTATACAGCTAGACTCACCCGACTGTCTCATGGCATATCACAGCTAGACTCACCCGATTGTCTCATGGCTATACAGCTAAACTCACCCGACTGTCTCATGGCTATACAGCTAGACTCACCCGATTGTCTCACGGCTATACAGCTAGACTCACCCGACTGTCTCACGGCTATACAGCTAGATTCACCCGACTGTCTACGGATATACAGCTAGACTCACCAGACTGTCTCATGGCTATACAGCATGACTCACCCGACTGTCTCATGGCTATACAGCTAGACTCACCCGATTGTCTCATGGCTATACAGCTAGACTCACCCGACTGTCTCGTGGCCATACAGCTATACTCACCCGATTGTCTCATGGCCATACAGCTAGACTCACCCGACTGTCTCATGGCATAACACAGCTAGACTCACCCGACTGTCTCATGGCTATACAGCTAGACTCACCCGACTGTCTCATGGCTACACAGCTAGACTCACCCGACTGTCTCATGGCTACACAGCTAGACTCACCAGACTGTCTATGGCTATACAGCTAGACTCACCAGACTGTCTATGGATATACAGCTAGACTCACCCGACTGTCTCATGGCTATACAGCTAAACTCACCAGACTGTCTATGGATATACAGCTAGACTCACCCGATTGTCTCATGGCTATACAGCTAAACTCACCAGACTGTCTCATGGCCATACAGCTAGACTCACCAGACTGTCTCACGGCTATACAGCTAGACTCACCAGACTGTCTCATGGCTATACAGCTAAACTCACCAGACTGTCTCATGGTTATACAGCTAGACTCACCTGACTGTCTCATGGCTATTCAGAAAGACTCACCTGATTGTCTCATGGTCAATAGCTAGACTCACCTGACTGTCTCATGGCTATTCAGCAAGACTCACCTGATTGTCTCATGGCTATATAGCTAGACTCACCTGATTGTCTCATGGCTATTCAGCAAGACTCACCTGATTGTCTCATGGCTATATAGCTAGACTCACCTGACTGTCTCATGGCTATTCAGCAAGACTCACCTGATTGTCTCATGGTCAATAGCTAGACTCACCTGATTGTCTCATGGCTATACAGCTGTCCTGGGAGCTGGACATTGCTAGGAGGGTACGACTCATATCGTCCTTGTCATGTGTGCCCAGCATCGACAGTAGTGAGTACACCATCTCCACCTGGTGGCACAAACAAACGTGACATTCACGAAGTGACATTAACGAAGGTGACGTACACAAGATAATGTTTACCAAGGTGATGTGAAGGTGATGTGACGGAGATTGTTGCCATGCACAAAAGTTGGGGAAGTGATGTCTACCTTGGTGCCAAGTCTATGCTGGGGAAGTGATGTCTACCTTGGTGCCAAGTCTATGTTGGGGAAGTGATGTCTACCTTGGTGCCAAGTCTATGTTGGGGAAGTGATGTTTACCTTGGTGCCAAGTCTATGTTGGGGAAGTGATGTCTACCTTGGTGCCAAGTCTATGTTGGGGAAGTGATGTCTACCTTGGTGCCAAGTCTATGTTGGGGAAGTGATGTTTACCTTGGCGCCAAGTCTCTGATGGGGAAGTGATGTCTACCTTGGTGCCAAGTCTATGTTGGGGAAGTGATGTCTACCTTGGTGCCAAGTCTATGTTGGGGAAGTGATGTCTACCTTGGTGCCAAGTCTATGTTGGGGAAGTGGTGTTTACCTTGGTGCCAAGTCTATGTTGGGGAAGTGATGTTTACCTTGGCGTCAAGTCTATGTTGGGGAAGTGATGTCTACCTTGGCACCAAGTTGCTGATGGGGAAGTGATGTCTACCTTGGTGCCAAGTTGCTGATGGGGAAGTGATGTTTACCTTGGTGCCAAGTTGCTGATGCTGCTCGGTCCGGTCATCAGTGGGGGCAGCGGCAGAACTGTTTGTGCTGCTGGTGTTTGTGGAGTTGAAGCTCATGACGCTTGCAAGGTCATGACCTCTGAGGTCGGGGATCACTCCCTCTTCTCCATTCGGAAGCTCTGTAAGAAAAAGTGACAGATCTCAGACCTAATCAAATCCTTGAACAAACCCTTGTATACAGACACCAGTCGGAATCAGATCCCCGAACTGGCCACTGGATAAAGACACCAGACCTTAGCCACACCTGCAGATACAGACCTGGGACCCAAGCAGATCCTTGGACAGACCCCTGGAAACAGACCTAAGAGCCAATCAGATTCTTGGACAGACCCTTATATAGGTATATGGAAGACAAGGTGTATAACTTACCCTTCCTTATTGGCCGGGACCCGTGGTATATGAAAGACAAGGTGTATAGCTTACCCTTCCCTATTGGCAGGGACCTGTGGTATATGGAAGACTAGGTGTATAACTTACCCTTCCCTATTGGCCGGGACCCCATGGTACATGGAAGACAAGGTGTTAAACTTACCCTTCCCTATTGGCCGGGACCCCATGGTATATAAAAGACAAGGTGTTTAACTTACCCTTCCCTATTGGCCGGGACCCGTGGTATATGGAAGATAAGGTGTTTAACTTACCCTTCCCTATTGGCCGGGACCCGTGGTATATGAAAGACAAGGTGTATAACTTACCCTTCCCTATTGGCCGGGACCCGTGGTATATGGAAGACAAGGTGTATAGCTTACCCTTCCCTATTGGCCGGGACCCGTGGTATATAAAAGACAAGGTGTATAGCATACCCTTCCCTATTGGCCGGGACCCGTGGTATATAAAAGACCAGGTGTATAACTTACCCTTCCCTATTGGCCGGGACCCGTGGTATATGGAAGACAAGGTGTTTAACTTACCCTTCCCTATTGGCCGGGACCTGTGGTATATGAAAGACAAGGTCTATAGCTTACCCTTCCCTATCGGCCGGGACCCGTGGTATATGGAAGACAAGGTGTTTAACTTATCCTTCCCTATTGGCCGGGACCCGTGGTATATGAAAGACAAGGTGTATAGCTTACCCTTCCCTATTGGCCGGGACCCGTGGTATATGGAAGACAAGGTGTTTAACTTACCCTTCCCTATTGGCCAGGACCCGTGGTATATGGAAGACAAGGTGTTATTCTGGGAGATATTGGCCTGCAGGATGTCTGGATTTTCCTGGATGATGACGTCAGACGTCTGTGTTGCTATGCTGATCATGACAGACCCATGTGTCAAGCCAAACACGGACTTGTCACTCGTACGAGCGTTGTCGCTGCCAGGCTTTGGAACAAATATCTGAAGGAAACATTATCAGGACAGTCAACATAGGGAAAAACACTCAATTTCTCACACGAATTTCAATCACCAATTACTGGCAATCCACATCCACATGTGAGTTAAGGTTTTACATACGCCACATCAATATTATTTCAACCATATCAGCATTATTTCAGCCATATCAGCCTTATTTCAGCCATATAATGGCAAGACGTGTACACAAGTTCATCATTAACACAAAGTCACACACAGCAACTTCCACATACATACTCCAACATCTCAGTTCTATTTACAATTTGAAAGGGTAGGCTTCAACAACACTATTTACACGGGCCTAAAGCCCAAACTGAAAACAACATCCACTTCTAGTGATTAGGAGATACACATACTGTGTCGGAAAGTCAGAGGCAAATAACGAAATTATAATAGCTCTAAATTTGATCTAACACCAAATGCATAACGCAAGGTTTTTAATAAAATATTAAGTGCTATTATAATTTTGTTATATACCTCTGATTTTCTATAACAGTGAACACAAATTATACATAGGACAAAGGACATATTGGTAACAGTCAGCAGGCAGTGACGAGATAGAGAGGGCACAGGGCAGTCTTAGGACAGAGGGCAGTCTAAAGAGGACAGGACAGACTAAAGAGGACAGAGGACACAGAACAGTCACATGGCAGAGAGTAGAGGACAGAGGACACAGAACAGTCACCTGGCAGAGAGTAGAGGACAAACATTCCAAAGAACACAGGACTGACATGTGACAGAGGACAAAGGAGGGAAGACATAGGATACAGTTAAACACAGGTCACAGAGTCAGACAGAGCATAGAGCCAGACACAGATCTACGACACAGAACACAGAGTTACGACACAGAACACAGAGTTACGACACAGGTCACAGAGTTAAACCAAGAGTTAGACACAAGACCCAGAGACAGACAAAGGACTCAGAGTTAGATACAGGACACAGAGTTAGACCCAGGACACACGACACAGCGTTAGACTCAGGACACAGAGTTAGACCCAGGACACACAGTTAGACCAAGAGTTAGACCCAGGACACAGAGTTAGACCCAGAGTTAGACCCAGGACCCAGAGTTGGACCCAGGACCCAGAGTTAGACCCAGGACACAGAGTTAGGCCCAGGACACAGAGTGAGACACAGGTGACTTACCTCTCCACACAATGCTGTATTGGTGGCCACGTCCTTCACACAGCTGGGATTCTGACCCCGCTCCAGACTCAGCTGCTGCTGCTTGAGTAACTGAAACAATAGAGCTGTGCTCAACTGGCTTCATTCAACAAGAGATGTCAGTCGGTCACCATCTGGCTGGAACTGTCAGTCGGTCACCATCTGGCTGGAACTGTCAGTCTGTCACCATCTGGCTGGAACTGTCAGTCTGTCACCATCTGGCTGGAACTGTCAGTCAGTCACCATCTGGCTGGAACTGTCAGTCAGTCACCATCTGGCTGGAACTGTCAGTCAGTCACCATCTGGCTGAAACTGTCAGTCAGTCACCATCTGGCTGGAACTGTCAGTCAGTCACCATCTGGCTGGAACTGTCTGAGTGGCTGTCTGTATGCATGTCTGTCTGTCTGTCTGTCTGAGTTGCTGCTGTCTCTGACTGAGTGGGTGTCCGTATGTATGTCTGTCTGTCTGTCTGAGTGGCTGTCTGTATGCATGTCTGAAAAGGCTAGTTATGGGCTATATGTACTGATATGTGTGAAAGGTTTGACAGTGGTTTAATAATAATAATAATAATGCTAATTTTTGTGCCTAGGATCCAACGTAATGCTGTTCTCTGGCGTTACATTATTACTCTGACGGAATTGTACTTTCGCGCAACTGTATAGGTCCGTACACCCGCTTCTCAGGCACCCATTTTCAACAGCTGGGTGGACCGAGTACAATGTGGACGAAGTGCCTTGCCCAGGGACACAATACAGTATTAGACCCAGGTCACAAATTTTGGGGTCTCCACCAGGATTCGAACCCGGGCCTTTGGTGTGAGAGGCCAGCATGCTAACCACTACACCACTGTGCTCCATTATGTAGTGCAATTGTGCAAGAAGTTGTAAGGGCTGTGGCTGGGGGGTCGGGGGAGTCGTGTGCAAGACTGACTGACTGACTGAGTTTGGTTGTACGCCGCTTTTAGCAATATTCCAGCAACATCACGACGGGGGACACCAGAAATGGGCTTCACACATTGTAACCATGTGGTGCAAGATTGAGTGTGTGGTGACATGAGTGGGAATTCTGTGAGATATCTGTTGTGTTGTGTCTTACTCAGTGGTTGTGTATTGTGTAGTGCATGTTGTGTTGCATGTGTTGTGTGAGGTGAGGTGAAATTGGGTTTTACGTCGTGCTTGAGAATATTTCGCTCATATGACGACGTGCATGCTCGTGTATGTGTATGTGCGGCTGCTTGTACTAGCCCAGACTTATGCTGGTTTTATAGTGCTGGCCCACTGAGATACCATGCCGCAGTGAAGCATGAATACCCCACTCAGACACATTATACTGACTCCGAGCCGACCAGTCCTTGTTGTACCCATTAATGCCGAACGCCAGGCAGGGACCAACAAGTACCATATGTTAACGTCTTTTGGTATGGCGCGGTCAGGGATCGTACCCGCGACCTTCCGCTCCCCGGGCGGACGCTCTAACCACTACACCATGGAGGCGGTCGCATGTGTTGTGCATGTTGTGTTGCATTGTGGGTTGTGTTGTGTTGCTTGTGTTGTGTTGCATGTGTTGTGTGGTTGTGTTACATGGTGTGTGTTGTGTGGTGGTGGTGCTGTGTTGTGTGGTTGTGTTACATGGTGTGTGTTGTGTGGTGGTGGTGCTGTGTTGTGTGGTTGTGTTACATGGTGTGTGTTGTGTGGTGGTGGTGCTGTGTTGTGTGGTGGTGTTACATGGTGTGTGTTGTGTGGTGGTGGTGCTGTGTTGTGTGGTTGTGTTACATGGTGTGTGTTGTGTGGTGGTGGTGCTGTGTTGTGTGGTTGTGTTACATGGTGTGTGTTGTGTGGTGGTGGTGCTGTGTTGTGTGGTTGTGTTACATGTGTTGTGTGGTGGTGGTGCTGTGTTCACCTGCTGCTCTCGATGACGTTGCTGCAGCATCATCATCTCAGCCTCAATGTTGCGTATCCGCTGCAGCCTGGCTTCCTGTCGTTGAGCGATATGCTCACTTGTCCCAAACTTCTCCGTCATGGCTTCCTCCAGCTTCTTGGCTTCGTACTCCACCTGGCGGCGGGTCATGTCCGTCTGCAGGTTGTACTGAAAAATCAGGCATCACAATATTGTCTTATAAGATCAACACCATTTATAAGAGTAACCTCAAAATCTGTCTCTTTAGGACTTTCTATCACTTGTGAGAACCCATGAAAAAAACGCCCATGACGTTTTGAAGTGACTTCCTTTAGTTTGTAGCGCCATGACTAACCACTCTGAGTTAAGCGCAGTATAAGTGCACAGATTATTATTGTCTTGTAAGTGGACTGACTGACTGACTGACTGACTGACTGACTGACTGACTGACTGACTGACTGACTGACTGACTGAGTTTGGTTTTACGCCGCTTTTAGCAATATTCCAGCAACATCACGGCGGGGGACACCAGAAATGGGCTTCACACATTGTACCCATGTGGGGATTCGAACCCGGGTTATCGGCGTGATGAGCCAACGCTTTAGCCACTGGGCTACCCCACCACCCTGTAAGTGGAACACCCGGTATCGGTATTGTGGTGCGAGGTAAATGATAAATAGAATGATTTGTGATTGTTGAAATGAAACAAAAAACAACCGTTTCCTGTTATCAGAGCTACAGATAACATTTTGGGTCATTGAGTTATGTACTCGCTTGTGTTCATCTCAATTGGGTATCCTAATTTTCCTTTGAGTAACCAAATAAATTGTACTCACCTCACTCAAACTCAATTAGGTATTTTGCCATTTTCCATTAATTTTTAAAATATAATAAAGTTTAAATGTTAGGTCTTGTTATTTATATTTGATCTGTAATATGAGAAACGATAAGAAAGACTGCAAGTTGTCAAGTTCATGTCCTGAAATACAACCTCTCAGTATACCTCAGTTATATCTATCCACCAGTATGCAAGCTAAGATTTGACATTTTTGTACAAACACATGTAAGATCACATTCATTGAGTATTTACCAAAATTCAAGCGTACTTGTACGCAAAAGATTCAATAGCAATTGAGTTTTCACATAAATAATTGCGTAATTTACAAAGATAAGCAGCTTGTCTGTATCTGTGTGTTATCTAACTGTCATTCTGCGAACATGGTGTTCACACACCACTGAACAGTTTGGTTGACAACTGTATGATGACCCCTCTACACACATGGTGTTCACCACCACTGTTGTCCTGGTGTTGTTGACAACTGTATGTGATAACCCCTCTACACACATGGTGTTCACAACCACTGTTGTCCTGGTGTTGTTGACAACTGTATGTGATAACCCCTCTACACACATGGTGTTCACAACCACTGTTGTCCTGGTGTTGTTGACAACTGTAAGTGATGACCTCTCTACACACATGGTGTTCACCACCACTGTTGTCCTGGTGTTGTTGACAACTGTAAGTGATGACTCCTCTACACACATGGTGTTCACCACCACTGTTGTCCTGGTGTTGTTGACAACTGTAAGTGATGACTCCTCTACACACATGGTGTTCACCACCACTGTTGTCCTGGTGTTGTTGACAACTGTATGTGATGACCTCTCTACACACATGGTGTTCACCACCACTGTTGTCCTGGTGTTGTTGACAACTGTAAGTGATGACCTCTCTACACACATGGTGTTCACCACCACTGTTGTCCTGGTGTTGTTGACAACTGTAAGTGATGACTCCACTACACACACGGTGTTCACCACCACTGTTGTCCTGGTGTTGTTGACAACTGTAAGTGATGACACCTCTACACACATGGTGTTCACCACCACTGTTGTCCTGGTGTTGTTGACAACTGTAAGTGATGACCTCTCTACACACATGGTGTTCACCACCACTGTTGTCCTGGTGTTGTTGACAACTGTAAGTGATGACCTCTCTACACACATGGTGTTCACCACCACTGTTGTCCTGGTGTTGTTGACAACTGTAAGTGATGACTCCACTACACACACGGTGTTCACCACCACTGTTGTCCTGGTGTTGTTGACAACTGTAAGTGATGACACCTCTACACACATGGTGTTCACCACCACTGTTGTCCTGGTGTTTAAGAATGGAGGTTACTTCAGAGTGATATTCTTATCTATAACAGGGTCTTCTACTAGAACCAAGAGACATGGAGAGTAGGCAGGCACAGCTACATGATACGAGATTCTCCACAAGGTGTGTCAAACTTACCGTTTCCGAGAGTGGAAGACTCTCCAGTTTCTGTGACAATATCTCCAGCTGCTGGAAGAAACGCTCTCTGAGACTGTCTTCTGTCTGAATCTCCCGCATCAACGCATTCCTGCAAACATATCTCACTGTTCAACACATTCCTGCAAAGATATGCCACTGGTCAACACAATCATGCAAACATATCTCCCTTATCAACACATTCCTGTAAATATATCTCCCTAATCAACACATTCCTGCAAATACATCTCACTGATCAACACAATCCTGCAAAACAAATCCCACTATTCAATGTTTTCTTGCAAATATATCTCACTGTTCAACACATTCCTGCAAACATATCTTCCTGATCAACACATTCCTACAAACATATCTCACTGTTCAACACATTCCTACAAACATATCTTCCTGATCAACACATTCCTACAAACATATCTCACTGATCAACACACTCCTGCAAACATATCTCACTGATCAACACATTCCTGCAAACATATCTCCCTGATCAACACATTCCTGCAAACATATCTCACTGATCAATTATTGGTATAAAGATATCTCTCATAGCAATGCATTCCTACAATAATCTCAGACATGAACATTCCTGCACAAACATCTTACATGTCCAGGTATTCCTGAACATATGACAATAATGTGTAACTGCAATCATATTACATGTTTCATGTAATTAGAAATGTTGCTATTGTGATATATCTCACCTCTCTAGGTCGAGGTTGTGCAGCTGGGCGTAGATCTCGTGTTCTGCATGAGTGAAATGGCCGTTGGGGGAGTTGACCTCAGACTTGAGACATGTGACATTGTCCACGGCATCGGCCCAGCTCTCGTTGTCATCACGCTCACCAAGGTCGTCTGTACTTAAGTCTGGAAGGAGAGACAAACAAGCTGTAAACATCATCAATTCATGCATTACAGGAACAAGTATCCCAGATGCCGGAACATCAGATCCCCCCTTAGATTACAGGAACAAGTATCCCAGATGCCGGAACATCAGATCCCCCCTTAGATTACAGGAACAAGTATCCCAGATGCCGGAACATCAGATCCCCCCTTAGATTACAGGAACAAGTATCCCAGATGTCGGAACATCAGATCCCCCCTTAGATTACAGGAACAAGTATCCCAGATGCCGGAACATCAGATCCCCCCTTAGATTACAGGAACAAGTATCCCAGATGTCGGAACATCAGATCCCCCTTAGATTACAGGAACAAGTATCCCAGATACCGAACATCAGATCCCCTTAGATTACAGGAACAAGTATCCCAGATACCGGAACATCAGATCCCCCCTTAGATTACAGGAACAAGTATCCCAGATACCGGAACATCAGACCCCTCCTTAGATTACAGGAACAAATATCCCAGATGCCGGAACATCAGATCCCCCCTTAGATTACAGGAACAAGTATCCCAGATGCCGGAACATCAGATCCCCCCTTAGATTACAGGAACAAGTATCCCAGATGCCGGAACATCAGATCCCACTAGATGTCTGTTGAGACAGACCATGAGACCAACAGGACCATTCACTGTCTGGACAGCAATCCATCAATCTCTAGGATCTGTATCTATAGCTAGTTACTGATCGTAGTTTGCAGCAATCCATCAATCTCTAGGATCTGTATCTATAGCTAGTTACTGATCGTAGTTTGCAGCAATCCATCAATCTCTAGGATCTGTATCTATAGCTAGTTACTGATCGTAGTTTGCAGCAATCCATCAATCTCTAGGATCTGTATCTATAGCTAGTTACTGATCGTAGTTTGCAGCAATCCATCAATCTCTAGGATCTGTATCTATAGCTAGTTACTGATCGTAGTTTGCAGCAATCCATCAATCTCTAGGATCTGTATCTATAGCTAGTTACTGATCGTAGTTTGCAGCAATCCATCAATCTCTAGGATCTGTATCTATAGCTAGTTACTGATCGTAGTTTGCAGCAATCCATCAATCTCTAGGATCTGTATCTATAGCTAGTTACTGATCGTAGTTTGCAGCAATCCATCAATCTCTAGGATCTGTATCTATAGCTAGTTACTGATCGTAGTTTGCAGCAATCCATCAATCTCTAGGATCTGTATCTATAGCTAGTTACTGATCGTAGTTTGCAGCAATCCATCAATCTCTAGGATCTGTATCTATAGCTAGTTACAGATCGTAGTTTGCAGTAATCCATCAATTTGCAGGCTAGGCTACTCCACAGATTCAGCTTATCCTGTCACAATGTTGTGTACAAAAGTGGTGATATATCTAATGTTGTGTACCTATATAGTGATATATCTAATGTTGTGTACATATGTGGTGATATATCTACTGTTGTGTACCTATATTGTGATATATCTAATGTTGGGTGCCTATATAGTGATATATCTAATGTTGTGTACAAATGTGGTGATATATCTAATGTTGGGTGCCTATATAGTGATATATCTAATGTTGTGTACATATGTGGTGATATATCTAATGTTGTGTACCTATATTGTGATATATCTAATGTTGGGTGCCTATATAGTGATATATCTAATATTGTGTACATATGTGATGTTGTATCTAATATTGTGTTCATATGTGGTGATATATCTAATGTTGTGTGCCTATATTGTGATATATCTAATGTTGTGTACCTATATTGTGATATATCTAATGTTGTGTACATATGTGGTGATATATCTAATGTTGTGTGCCTATATTGGGATATATCTAATGTTGTGTACCTATATTGTGATATATCTAATGTTGTGTACATATGTGGTGATATATCTAATGTTGTGTACATATGTGGTGATATATCTAATGTTGTGTACCTATATTGTGATATATCTAATGTTGTGTACATATGTGGTGATATATCTAATGTTGTGTACATATGTGGTGATATATCTAATGTTGGGTGCCTATATAGTGATATATCTAATGTTGTGTACATATGTGGTGATATATCTAATGTTGTGTACCTATATTGTGATATATCTAATGTTGGGTGCCTATATAGTGATATATCTAATATTGTGTACATATGTGATGTTGTATCTAATATTGTGTTCATATGTGGTGATATATCTAATGTTGTGTGCCTATATTGTGATATATCTAATGTTGTGTATCTATATTGTGATATATCTAATGTTGTGTACATATGTGGTGATATATCTAATGTTGTGTGCCTATATTGGGATATATCTAATGTTGTGTACCTATATTGTGATATATCTAATGTTGTGTACATATGTGGTCATATATCTAATGTTGTGTACATATGTGGTGATATATCTAATGTTGTGTACCTATATTGTGATATATCTAATGTTGTGTACATATGTGGTGATATATCTAATGTTGTGTACATATGTGGTGATATATCTAATGTTGCGTACCTATATTGTGATATATCTAATGTTGTGTACATATGTGGTGATATATCTAATGTTGTGTACATATGTGGTGATATATCTAATGTTGTGTACCTATATTGTGATATATCTAATGTTGTGTACATATGTGGTGATATATCTAAGGCTGTGCACATATATTGCTTTATATCTAATGTAGTGCACATATATTGTGTTATATATGTTGTGTACCTATATTACGTTATATCTAATGTGTACATATTTGATGTTATATCTAATGTTGTGTACCTATATTGTGATATATCTAATGTTGTGTACATATGTGGTGATATATCTAATGTTGTGTGCCTATATTGGGATATATCTAATGTTGTGTACCTATATTGTGATATATCTAATGTTGTGTACCTATATTGTGATATATCTAATGTTGTGTACATATGTGGTGATATATCTAATATTGTGTACCTATATTGTGATATATCTAATGTTGTGTACCTATATAGTGATATATCTAATGTTGTGTACATATGTGGTGATATATCTAATGTTGTGTACCTATATTGTGATATATCTAATGTTGTGTACCTATATTGTGATTTATCTAATGTTGTGTGCCTATATTGGGATATATCTAATGTTGTGTGCCTATATTGTGATATATCTAATGTTGTGTACCTATATTGTGATATATCTAATGTTGTGTACCTAGATTGTGATATATCTAATGTTGTGTACCTATATTGTGATATATCTAATGTTGTGTACCTATATTGTGATATATCTAACGTTGGGTACCTGTATTGTGATATGTCTAATGTTGGGTACCTGTATTGTGTCGGGTACTGACGGCCTCCATCTTGTCACATCAGACATGGTGTATTCTCCCAGTATCCTCCCAGTACTCCCCAGTATTCGGTCTCTTCTCTCAGTAGCAAGCTATGTGTGTGTCCACAACTCCATGCTATACCATCCTTATCACACGGCGCCAGTATTACACCTGGACACAACTGCTAGCCTTAGTCATTCCTACCCTGGCATTCCTCTTAGAATATACGACCTTCACCTTGACCCCTGACCTGACAGTAAGCCAATGAAGAATGGCTGGGGCTAGTTCTGCTGCTACTGCTGTAATAGCCTGGCTGCTGGCAGTGTGAGTGAGCCACCATTACCTCGCTATAACGCTGGCACAGGCCAACAATAGATGCCCTGATATAGCACAGACTTAATGAGCAGAGGAGATGGAGACATCCAATATGGCTACACAAGAGATTTGTATTACTGCCTGTACTGGAGAAAGACATGGGTACAGTGACACCGCTGGTCTGGCCAACACTGCTGCTGTAGATCCAATATTAATCAGTGTGTGCAGCGTCCATCTGTCAGCCATATCTTCATGCTGCTACACTGACAATTGATTCCCTCTGCCACAGGGTAGGGGGGAGGGGGTGCTCTTTAGGTGAGGCTAACAATATAGGACAATCAGTGGCTCAGTGGAGGGGGCACAATCTGAGGGGAGGGGAATGTAAATACTACAAATTATATATTCAGTTGGTTGAGGGTAAAGGCAAGGTGTGAGATCTTTATTAGACTAACACCTAGTCTCTGAAATAAACATATTTCAGGGGGGGGGGGGTGTGGGTGTGTGTCATAGTGAAAGAAATAAATTATAATGAAAAGGAGCCCTGAGCCTTTCTTCAAGCTGTGGAAATCAAAACTTGCCACATTTTCTAGACTTGTATGGGCTTTCTTGGATATATTTGCTTCAGGGTCTGTACGACAGACTAGATGTTTATGTGATACCCACACAATCCACTAGGTCCATTGCAAAGTATATCATGAAAATCAGTGAAAGTCTGTGTATACATTTAGTAATCACCTTTAAGATGTTGTTTCTGTCAAAGTAGGTTGGCATTGATCACCAAATTATAAAAATGTCATGTCACCCTCCATCAAGATTAAATATCAAGTTATCATTGATCATTGAACAGTTGAAAATAGTGATATTACCTGCAGAGGGTCAACCAATATTCTTAATTATTGGTGAAGTATTTTTACAAAATTCATAATTTACATCACTTTTTTATTTTGGTTCAGCAATATTCAAACAGCTGATGTGTGTACATCACGTAAATCAAGTCTGGACCAGATAATCCAGTGACTAGGATCCATGGACATAGTTGGGATGTGATGGCATCAGTGAAGACACTAAGCCCCCCCACTGGAACCCATCAGGGGATGCTGAAGAGTAGCTCACACCTGGGTCTTCAAGCACAGGTTGTTCAGGGTTTTACGCGACACGGAAATGTGCATCCAGTACAAAAACGTATGGAGTAGACATGTGGATATATTGTGTCCCAACTCCTGCACAATGACATTCATTGTAGCAGATTCTCCACAAGAAATATAAAGTTTGTGCTATTAAAGTAGCTGTTACATCTTACAGTTCACTAAACCACTTAAAGCACTTAATGTTACATCTTACAGTACACTACACTAAACCACTTAATGT